AGAGTGACAGTCTGGCTGTCCCACACGCCAGCCTTCCCAGCTAGACATGCAGCCCCTCTCAGCTCTGGGCATGCTCCCTGGGGCCCTCCTCCCAAGCCACACCCGCCCGTGGGACCGGGCCCACCCTTCCTGGTGTCACCCTCCGGAGATGTGGACCAGCCAGGAGGCGACAGTGGTTTTCCTGCCACGCTGTCTCTCGTGCCCCTTGCCTTCTTCCGGTCCTGAGAAGGGTGCTCCTTCTGCTCCTGCTCGCCGATGGGAGGTAGCATTTCCCTCCCTCCCTCCCTCAAGTTTCTGCAGCTTGTCTTCCCTGGGAGAGGTGCCACAGGATTTGCTTCCGTTTGCTACAGATTCCCACAGAGAGTGTGCTTCTTCCCACCTCCTGACACTCATGCTCACCCATGCCATCACCACTGGGGATGCTGGCTCCCCTCCACGCCCCCTCCCCTCCCCTTGACCTCCACAGTCCTCGGCCAGCTCTGAGGTCATGAAGACTTAGCTTCCTCGGAGTCCATGACTGTGCCTCTCTGGTCCTCCCACCTCTTGGGGCTTCCCTGACCTTCTCCCCAGAACAGCCCGGGCGAGTTCTCTGAGAGCCAACTTAGAATGATCAGGTGAACTTCACAGGAAAAGGCCAATGCCTGACCACTGTCACGGGTACCCCTGGGTGTGCATTACCACAGGCCGGAATGCAGACGCTGTGTGTCCCGGGATGGCTCTCCAGCTCTCAGAACCCAACCGGTCACCGGCCCTTCCAGGCATTTGCCCATCAGCTTAAAGGTAGCTGGATGCAGGGCAGGCCACTACGCCCCAGATTTCTCCCCTGGTGACCGTGGCCGTGCTGGAGGGGCCACCTGCTGCTGCCAAGAGGATACTGTCACGTCCACTTCTCTAGACTCTGGCTCTTCTGGCTGTGGTCACCAGCTCCTCACGGCCCCAGCCCAAGGGCCTCTTTGCAGCTGTCCTCAGACTCCTCCTCCGGCCCTGCATTCCTTGCACAGCATTGCACTGGCTGAATATGAACACTGAATGTGCTGGCTGCTCGAAACCATAGGGTGGCCACTCGATGCTGTGGGCTGGGCAGGGGCTGCTGCTGCCGGCTCGCCCTTGGCTCCCAAGGGATCTGCCTGTGTTAACAGCAGGACTGTGATTCCGTGATCCTGAATGCACCTCTGATTGTGACCCAGGCCCCTGATTCCAGTTGAGATGAGCGGATATCCAAGAAAAGATGGCCTATAACCAAGTACTCGCTTTTAACTGCTTTTCTCCCACATCTCTGGAGACAGCGCAATATGTGAAAAGAATGCATAGGGCCCTGGGTCAGAACCTCTCGAGTCCAAATCCCACCTCTGCCCGTTACCAGCTGTGTGACCCTGGGGGAGTCACTGAACCTCTGCTCATGTACAAAATGGGACAAACCAGAAGTACTCAGGGGGGCATGGTACAAAGCGGACCGTCAGTCCATCATGGGTGACCTCTGTGTGTGGTCTAACATAGACCTCACCACGGCAACACCGTGAGGAAGATTCCACATGGCACGCTTTTATAAAGCTGCACGCTAGGTCTCGGTGCAGGGGCTCACACCTGCAATCCCAGTGCTTTGGGAGGCTGGGGTGGGAGTATCGCTTGAGGCCAGGGGTTCAAGGCTGTAGTGAACTATGATCGCACCACCACACTCCAGCCTGGGCAACAGGGGGAGACCCCATCTCTGGAAAACTAAACTAAAATAAAAAGCTTTGCTTCCTCTGCAGCAGGGGTACTCAGAGGGGCACAGACCAGAAGCACCTGTCCTGCTGCTTCTCTCTCTTCCAGGAAAGAGTGAGCAGTGCTAGTATGTAGAGTCTGACTCTTGGCTGCCAGGAGCTACTCGACTGATGGCCAGATTGCACACATACAAAGTAACTAACTTCAGAGGCAGACTGAATCCAGAGGAAACTTTTGTTCGGCCTCCCGAGGACTCTCATGCACCCCGAGGAACCCCTTCTATGACGAAGCACAGAGGACCCTTCATGTCAACTCAGGATGCGCTTCCCGATCAGCATCCCTCCTGTGGCTTCCATCTCAGATCCAAAGCCCATCTGCTAGGGACATTTTCCACCCCATCCCGTCTTTGCTGGTTAAGGAGATGCTGCTGTCTTAACCGATTTCAAGGTTTTTGAACCAATAGGCACAAATATTTAGGCCTCCGCTTTGTCTATTAAGGAAAATGCCATCTGAGATAATTATTTTACCTCTGCCTGACAGGAGCATTTACGTAGAGGACAGGACTAGTCTAACCTTTGAGCAAATTCTGAAACCTTGAACCTATCTGGTCTTTCTCTGTGCTGCATGTATTCCTATGGCCGATATGTCAAACTTCAGAACACTTGAGAAGAAAAATGCCCACGAAAGGCGAAACAACCCGGAATTACTATTGGTTGGTTTTCCATGAAGATCAGCTGGACCCCAGGCACAGACTTTGGTTCCTGCTTGTTTACATGAATGCCCCCTCTCCTACACTCCAGGCACTTGGAGGGTGGGGTCTGTTGGACACACTTTGTGTCCCGGTGGCTCAGCACAGGAAGCACCCAGAATGCTGTCTGGACATGTGACTAGCTCAAGTGTTGAGCTGACAGCCTAAGCTTGGGAATGAAGCCTAATTCTGGCATTTCTCAGTAAAGTGGCCTTAAACACGTCACATATTGCCTCAGTCACCTCGTCTGAAACGTGGGCTCGATGTTACCTCCCTTACGGGACTTGTTATAAGGGTTAAATACGGGAAGGTTTACACGGCACCTAGCACACAGTAGACAATGGTGGTGGCTGCTCCATGATCATCACTTGTACGGAGGACATGAGGAGAGGAATGGAGTCTTCAGCAGTGAAGGTCTCTGCAGTGAGAGCACATCATGCTCTGCACAGAGAGGCTCAAAGGTACCCAGAAGTGCGAGGAAAGAGTTTAGGGTCCCTGGCAGGGAGGCTGTCTGATCCGGAACACCACCATCATCGGCGTGATAGACGGAGATCCTCTTCCCCTATATCCACGTCCCAATCGCTGGAACATGCGAGTATGTTGCCTTTACATAGTAAAAAGGGACGGTGCAGGGGGAAGTTAGGGTCTTGAGATGGGGCGATGACCCTGGATTATCTTGGTGAGTCCCAAATAATCCCTAAGATCCTTGTGGGAGAAGAGGGAGGTGGAGGGCTAGAGTTGGAAAAGTCAGAGAGAGATTGGAAGACGCGGCCGAGCATGGAGGACGGGAGAGGGCACCACAAGCTGAGGAATGAGGTGCCCTCCGGAAGCTGGAGAGGGCAGGGAGCAGGTTCTCCCTGAAGCTTCTGGAAGAAGCCAGCATCCCGCGCAAGTTGACCTCTGGCCACCAGAACCACGGGATGCCCGTCTGCGTTATTTTCAGCTGCTGGGTTTGTGGTTACCTATTACAGGAGCAATGGGAAACTCACGCCACGGATAACAGCGAACACCCAAGAAAAACAAGGCTCTCAAACGGACAAACCTTAACTACACAGAAACGCTCATTTCTGTCAGACACTGTCACCCCTGGTGTTATCAGACGGCTGAGGCGTTACTGAAGCCAAGAAGCTATGTGTTGGATCAGGAGAGACCTGGTCTCAATGGAGATGAAATTCAGTGCCACCTTTATTCCCACAGATGTGGCCAGTCCTTCTCACTAAGCTTTTATGGCAGCTGCCGAGCTGTGAGGCAAAGTCTGCGCGCTCATAATTGCAGCCTGCTTAATACCTGCCAGCCAGCAAAAGACTCAGAATAAATACTGCATCAAGAGGGCGTGCTTTCCACTGTGCCATCTCTGTATTCCTCATGTTTGAAAAATATGACTACTTAAGTTCACCTCATGTCTGGAGGGTCTAAAGAGGGAGCTCTTTTGGGGGAAAAGAATCCCAGTAAGTTATGTATCACCTCTGTCATGCAACTCAGAATTTAAATTTCTTAGTGAAGTCTATGCTTCCATGCTGTCTGGGAATACAACAAAAGGAAAAGACCTTAACAAAAGAATAAAAATCAGCTTCTCTTTTAGGATAATGACTACTACTGAGGGTCTATGAGGTGCAAAATGTTGTACTGGCCATTTTAGTCCTCACAGGAGCTCAGCAAAGAGGATATTATTATCCCTAACTTGTCACTGGAAAAAGGCACTCCGAAAGGCCAAGAAACTTCCTGAGCTCCATAGCCTGAAGCTCACATTGGTCCGACTCCTGAGCTTGTGTCTTCTCCACTACATCTACTGCCTCCGAGGAAAGTCCAGAAGGCAAAATGTTGACTAAGTGTGGGGTACGCTGCCAACAGTGCATCTGCGGGTTCCCCGCAGGCGAGGCTGTGCCAGCTTCGAATTATTTGCTTTCCACCATGCCAGGTGTCAGCGAGGAAAAGGCTATGCCTCCAAGGGGCTGTGAGTGACCAGAGAGCTGATCATAATGACCAGGTAACAACTCATTCTGTCGCTGGCATTTTTTTCCCCTTCATACAGAGAAGAAAAGTCCTCGGTAAGTGTTACAGAGAGACACTGCAATGCAGCCACTGTCATAAACGAGCACATCTTAGAACCATCCTGCTTAAGACCACACCTCCTAGATGGGAGCTCAAGAACAAGGCACTGCTGAGAGTGCTAACTGCTCTGTTGTTGCTGACAAGCCATTTCTCACCCAGCTCTTCCAGACAGCAATTTGCACAAGCAACTCCTTCCACACAACAGTGGAAATTTCTTAACTTATTCTGAACACAACTCTGTAGGAAATACATTTTACCATGCAACGGCTCACATGGACACACAGCAAAACCAGCAGCTCCACGAAGCAAAGCAGCCTTACCACATGCACTGAGCTCCTTCTGTTTTCTCTCTGAGTATGTTTTGCCCGGTTGAGTCCATTTTGTGGTCATGACCCACGCACTGATGTGGTGATTCACGAATGACCCTCTGCCCCATGGGGGGCTGTGCTGACAGTTTGAAAGTCCTGGCCAGGAATCAAGAACTGAGGGGTCCTACCTCTGGGGCAATGTAATCTGGAGTCCCACAGAAGGTCCTGGTCGTGACTCCGTCCATCATATGTTCCTTGCACATCCCGAAGTCAGCAATCTTGATATGTCCTTCTGAATCCAACATGACATTATCTAACTTCAGATCCCTACAAGGAAGCAGGTTAATGTCAAAGTCCTTCCCTAATATAACGCTGTTTGCTCTGGAGTTGGTGAAACGGTAGAATATTTGAACAGCTGCCATTTTGACAGCATATTAACTGTTAATCCCCGAAGGGCAGGAACCAGGGGTTATTGTGTTTTTGTATCTCTGGAGCCTAACACTGTGCCTTGGACACGGTAGGTACTTAAATGCATGAGTGACTAAGTGGTCAAACTAGTGATTCCCAATCTTGGCTTTGCCTGTGGACCTGGAGATTCCAATTTAGCAGGTCTGGGGAGATCTCAGTCACCTGACTCATTAATGTCCCACATGAAGGGGTCTGACACACAACGGGCTTGCAAAATTGCAGGTTGGGAGCCACCTTGTTGGGCCACGCATGTGTCCCTTCCACTCCACCAAGCGCCCTTTGACTTATACTGAAGGCTTTCTTCCTCCTTTGTAACCAGACCCTCACTGCAGCTAATGACAGGGGGCGTCGAACGCAGTTGTCTTTGCCCACCACTCCCGATTCCCCATGTTCTTCTGCTGAGCTTCTAAAGCCAAGTTGGGGTTTCAGTGCTCCGACCTCCACTCCAAATCAAAGGTGGAGGAAGGAGCTGTCAGTGGAGAGAAAGTAGAAATGAGGTTTAGAAACCGGAGGTGGCTGTGATTTGCCTCGTGGCTGCAGAGAAAGGCGGGTCCAGACGGCCCCCGTCACCTGGGGCTGTCAACTCCGGTCTGAAGTGGCCACCACAGAATAACAAGCCCACAGAGGTCCAGCACACCTCCCGACCACCCTGCTGCCAAAAGAGCTTCAATACACACCTATAGATGATTCCCCTTTTATGGAGAAAGAACAGTCCAATGGAGATCTCTGCCGCATAGAATCTACAAAAGAAAACCAGCGTCAGGCTACTCACATGCTTCTTCGGCCTCCTGGACACTACTTCTCCTCAAGGTCAGGCATCAGAGAGATAAGAGAATGCAATCCCAGAGGCTTTCAGCGACCGGCCTCACCCTGCACATGCATGGTCTTCCAGCCCTCGGCCCCTCCCTCCCCACTTCCTCACACCAGCTCACCCGAGGCGATACGGCGAGTTAAGCCAATGAAATGGAATGATTCTTCTCATCTGGGAAGACGGACGGGCAACTTACTACCTACAAAGTAACTTCTAGTATAACCATTCAGGGAATGGATACCTGTTAGACTATGCTATGTCAGGAGATGGGAGAGAAAATTCCTGTGTTCCTATTTGGGGACAGAGCACATTGGTGTCTGAAAACACAGTTTCTCCCTGGAAGGCAAAGCATAGTGGGTGATAAACTCTCACTGGTTTACTCATCCCTTACCAAGTGCTGTAGTAAATGAGACTCACACCATGATACAGATCTGAGTTTACCTTTTAACATAGTTTATAATAAAAAGCAGTTACTACTTCAAAATGTTAACAGGTTAAAATCTGAAACTCAAATCAAATGAGGAAGATATGATATCTTAAGATGTGCATAGTGTTAAGGAGTCTGAAGTCCGAGAAGCCATAAGACTATGCCTGTGCAAATATCACACCCAGGAGGCTTTTAAAAATAAACCGTACAAGTCTACATGAGCAGAGAGAAAAAAACCCTAGTGATCAGGACCCGAATGTTTCTGGGGGCCAGCCCTGAAGGCTGGCAGGAGAAGACAGGATGAAGGGGAGAAGGGATGGGGTTACAGGTGATCTCTACATTATTTTCCATGATTTTCTGTATTTCTTTAGTGGGGGGAACTTTTCTGCAACATAAGTATAACGAAAGGGAATCAGACTGACATCTTTGTGTTACTTTATTATATAGGGCGACTATTTTGCTTTTTGCTCTTTGCAACTCTGTGTGGTAAAGCTTAATTTCATAATCCAAGTATTTTAATGCTTCACAACCACAACACAAGAGAGGTAGCAAGGGCAGGCATTTCCAGAAAACTGAGAAGTGAAAACAACGGCAAAAACATCCCGCACGTGTTTTCAGCCTGCGACCCAACAAGTCCCACGCCGCCCTCAGCCAGCCTTCCCAGTTCTTCGGCCTCATCTTCAGACCGGACACAGCCAGAGTCTGATCAGGAGCCACGAACGTGACCGTCAGGGGCATGCCTGCTGTGCACCCTCATGAGGGAACAGCCGTTTGTTCGGGCTTGCTTTCCCGGAGTCCCCTGAGACCTCTTGGCCCTGAGAAGGGGGAAGATGCCGCAGGCAGGGGAGCCCCACCCCCATGGCCGACTCTCCCCCTTCACCTGGTACCCACGTCTCTCTTCTGGGCGGCCCACTCCGGAATCCCTGCATCCAGGGGACAAGGTGGGGGCCTCCAGGAAAAGCATCCAAAAGGAGCTCGCAACTCTGCCCCCAGACACCTCCTCCTGGGCAGCTGCCCCCACCCAGATCCCAAACAGTCTTACTTGAAGAAGCCTCTCCCTTCTCACCCTCTCACCAGTCTCTCCTTTGCTTCCTCCAGTATGTTTTTCAAAGACAGCTCTCCCTCTCTGGCGCTGGGGCAAGCCCTCACGACAGCGCCTACCCCGCACCCAGGAAGTCTCAGGCCCCTCGTGACGTCCCTGCATTCCCACCCATGCTCCCTTCTCCTGCCAGCCAAAGAGCTCTGCAAAAAGCTAACCTGATAAAGGCTGACCGACGCCCTCCCTGCTCCCTCCTGGCCGGGTAGGCTCTTCCTCACCCAGAGCCCCGCCAGACCCTGCCTTTGCCGTCATCTCGCACGGCATCCTAGACAGGCGGAGCTGCAGAGCCCTCCCTGGGTTCGCCTCAGCCTCCTCTCACAGCTTGGCAGGCTCTTCCCACCTCTGCGCCGGGCATTCCCTGAGGACCCTCTTCCCTCACTCCCAATTTTTGGGAGACTGCATGGTATCCTGCGAGTGCCTTTAAAGTTAGAGCTACGCGTGACACTTGGGGGGTGACACTTCTGACTCTGGGTTAGAGCGTGTGCTCCCAAGGGCAGGGAGTGCCTCCGCCCCTTCACACTCCCAGGGTCTGGCGCTCGGTGAGGGTCCCGTAGCCACCGGCTGGCTCGACAGGTGAGTGAGTGACTCCATCCATGAGGATGGAACTGAGTATGAGGAGACATGCCAGCGTCTCCGCCACTTAGGACACAGCTGAATGGATTCCACAGTGCATCTGCCGGGAGGCGGCCGCACTCAACCCTGAGCTGGACAGAGTCCCACTTGCACGTTCCCCTGGCAGAAGATCCCAGTCAGGAGCAGGGGCTGCCCGGGTCAACAGACTTAAGGGAGAATACTCACACTGCTTGTGGTTCCTTAAACTTCCCCACTTGCTGGATGTGGTACATGAGGTCCCCGCCGTTGACGTATTCCATGACGAAGTACAGGCGATCCTGCAACCAAGGCCAACGCATGAGTGCGGCCTCCCCGCTGGCAGGGGCCGCCCTCCCTTCCTGCAGGCCACACCTGGCTTTTCATTCACAAATCCGGGCCGTGTGGGCAGCGCTGCCCAGTGTGGAGCTCTCCAAAGGGCTTTTCACAAAGAAAGACACAAGCTCTAAGCCTGCCGCATGAGGCCTGGGGAAGCAGAAAGTCAGGACAGGGCTCTGGTAACATGGCAGCACCTTCCGGCCACAGACGCTCCCGACTACGGTCATGGCCTAGAACTCTCCCCCTACCTTCCCACACACACGACCCTTTCTCAATGAGGGATGGCGTGAAGAACCCATGTCAGGCAGTCATCCGATTTTGCCCAGCGCTGCTCGACGTCCAGCTGTCTCAAGGCTGGTTGTGGAGCGCGAGAGGCGGACCACGTCCATGCGGCAGGTTTAGGAGAGGGGCTCTCGAATCCCATCTCTTGGCTGATGGCGACACACGCTCAGCGGTACCCACTGGGCGGAGGAGAGGGAAGACTACAAATGGAGAGGCTCGCAAATGTTCCTTGCATCCAAAGTATGCCCAGATGTGGCATGGCCTCACCCAGGGCATGTTTCACAGACCCGGGCACACCCGCATTTTTACAAGGACACTGCGCTCGACGGAGGACACTGAGGGGTTCAGCACAGTGCACCAAGGTGAACACCGACCCCAGCTCCCTGCTGGAAAACATCACCGTCTGCCTAAGCGTGGTGACGCGCTGTGCGGGAGAGCAACCGCCCCTGAGCAGGCGACAACCGCTGGAGACAGCGCCGGGGCTCCCAGCCCCGGCTTTCCCGCTAGGAACTCTAGCGTGCCCTTCGTTGCTCGGCTTGGTGGTTGTCCACGCACAGTCAGGGTAGCCAGGGGCACAGACCCAGGGCTGGGTCCAGAGTGTGGCTCCTTTTCCAGCGTGTAGCTCTGTTCTCCCCAGTGACTGACACAAACGCGGGGGAAGTTGCTGGGAGCGGGATGCCTGCACGGCACCGTGCTGGGATCCGTGGCTCCCCAGAGGCCACACAGCCATTTCAAGAGCCTAAAATCCAAAAGCACTGAGGAGAACCCCCGAGAGTTTAAAAAGAGAGAGGTAAGAGAGAACATCAACCTCTGTCCAATGAACAGTTGAAAATAACTGCAAGAGTGACAATGACAGCTGCTGACTGAGTCACATTTCACAGGGGCGGCCTCTGAAGAGTCAGAAGCCTGTCTCTGGTGACGCCATATGTGGTGCCACCCAAATGTCTTCATTTCCTGTCGGCCACACGAAAGCCCACTGCTGACTGAGTGCTTTAGAATTTTCTTTTTTGTCCTGTTTAGTTTTACTCTATCACAGGGCTAAGCAACTGTCTTCTATAAAGGGCCAGACAGTAAATATTTTAGATTTTGAGTGTCTCTCGCAACCACAAATAGTAGGTACATGAATAAGCGTGACTATGTCTCAAAACAACTACTTACAGTTGCTGACATTTGAATGTCATCTACTTTTCACATGCCCCAAAACATTATTCTGTGGATCTTTTTTGCTCAGCCTTTCGGAGAACTCCCGGGCCGTACAGAACAGGCCACAGTTTGCCACGCCCTGTCCTGTGGCATTGAATGACACACTCTTTCATATACTCGAGTCCCCTAATGTTCCAATGCCATGCTTCACTGCCAGACCACTGGTCTTAAGAAGCCAAGACTCTGAATTATATTATTGTGCTTGTATCCTCAAGTCGTAGCAGTACCTGACATGAAGAAAAGCTTTCCTATGAATGTTTCCTGAATTAAAGGGCACACGTGCCAAGCAGGGGACAGCACAGAGAGGGCTCGCTCAAAATCTGCCCGTGACAGAGGGATGAGAGGTTGTCCCCAGTCACCTCTGCTTGGCATCACAGGACACCTCTCTCCAGACTCCTCCACAAGAACCAGGATGCTGGACACTTTGGTGCAGGTACAGCCCTGAGAGCACACTGGCTGCACCTGCCGCAGAATTCCCACTCCCCAGTCCTCACCACGGTCTGGAAGCAGGAGTGCAGCTGCGTCAGGAAGGGGGGCTTGTCAAGCAGGGCCAGGACCCGCTTTTCCACCATAGTGCACTCCACATCGTCGTCCTGAATCACCACATCCTTCTTCAGAATTTTGATTGCATACAGTTCTTCTGTTCCCTTCCGATCAGCAAGCATCACCTGAGAACAGACCAGAGACAATCTGAACATTTCTAAACATACATCTGGTCCTGGGGCGGGGACAGAGATCATAACCCAGCGGTGGCTCAGCGACAGCTTGTGGAAATTTGTAAATGTGTACTGAACACGTGTTCATAAACTTGATGTGCAAATTCTGAAATACTGCAGGTCACCACAATGGCATCCCGCCAGCATTTGTGTGCTGCTGAGTTGTGAAGATGTGTCTACTGCAGGCTGTTGCCACACCATGGAGCCATTTGGGCCACTGAACGGAATACCGGGCATTCTGCACCAGGGTGAGCCAGGAAACAGGCACATTTTCTAGGAGCATCCTTAGAGTAAGATGTGACCGACCTTTTATGAGCCTGCATGTCAGGAACCCAGATGAAGAAAAAGGCTCAAAGCCAGTTCCTGGAACTATCGTACGCTTTGGGGCCACAGAAGCCAGAGATATAGAGGCAGATTGCTGAAGACCTCATCCCAGTATCTCTCTTTTCTTTTGAGCTGGAGTCTCACTCTGTTACCCAGGCTGCAGTGTAGGGGCACACTCACAGCCATCTCAGCGTCAACCTGCTGGGCTCTGGCGATCCTTCCGCCTCAGCCTTCCAAGTAGCTGGAACTACAGGTGCACACTACCATGCCCGGCTAGTTGGAGAGACGAGGTCCCTCCAAGCTGTACGGGCTGGTCTCCAACTCACGGGCTCAGGCAACCCACTCGCCTCGGCCTCCCAAAGTCCTGGGATTTCAGGCTGAGCCATCGAGCCTGGCCCAGTATCCCTTATGATTATATTACTACAAGTTAACATTTAAGTTTTGGTTATGGAACTTGATCATTCAACCAATGGTTTTGGAGTACTCCCTCTGTTCTGAACACAGAGAAACAGTAACACAGTTAACCCACTGTAGCTTTTTGATAGCAGCTGTTTTAATGAAATGAAGCAGAAAACATCTGAGAAATATGTACAAATAGTGGAGCAATCCACAGAGCTGTTCTAGAAACCTCAGGGAGAACAAAACGGACCCCGCCTTCTCTGCAAAAGCCCCTCCACTTCCCCAACTGTCTCCTTACCTTCCCAAAACTCCCCTTCCCCAGCACCATGAGGAAATTGAAGTCTGTGAGTTTTACTCTATCCAGGTTGTTGGAAGGCTGCTTCCTGTCTTCTGAAGGACTGATGACTTTGTTACCAGCAGGGCCAAGCTTGGCTTTCTAAACAACAAGCACACACACAAAAAGTATGGGTCACTTTTCTGGGGAAAGAGTGACAGAAAACAGCACTCCACCCCAGAGGTGGGACGTAGGACGGGGCGAGGAGAGGAGCTGGAGGTGAGACTTTCCTCAGGGGAAAGTCGGCAAAGTCAGGAAAACCTTCCTTCCTTAACTGGATGCCGGCTCAGCCACCTGGATCAGCCAACCGCCAGCTGAGTCTCACGCTGGGATGTGAAAGCTACCTTCTGGGGACAAAGGGGTTCGGTCGTGAACCTAATAAAGGAAGTAGACTGCGTGTTCACGTTTTCCTTGGTTGTAGATTTTCCGATCTAAAATTAATCTGCATAAAGGAAACCTGCACCCAGGCGAGAGCGGGGAAAACAGTTTCTGGGTGGAGCTTGACGGCAAGCTGCAGGGATGAGTTACTGCTGCTTCCAAAGGCTCAGCGGGGACAAACGTTCTGTGTTTTTTTCTTCTAAGTCAAGAGTTGAACTGGGGAATGATAACATGCATGAGAACCTGGCTTCACGCAAAGCAAGCGCCCTCTGAGCCTGGAGAATGCCTGCTCATGACTGGCCACCATAGGAGCCCGGAAAGCCTGGACCCAGGGCACACAGAGGCCCTGGAGGGAACCCTGCCATGACTCCCTCCAGGTGCAGAGTCCATGAGAAGGCCAGAAGTAAGGGCTCAGGAGAAAGGGGATGGCAAGTCAAATCCCACGGGAATGTCCCAAGTCAGCAAAGAAGCCCAAGGAGCCTGGGGTGGGCCATGTGCTACGGCCCGGCCCCGCCCTTACGAGCATCACTGGTGGAAAGGAGACGGATGGGCTGACAGGGCAAGGGTCCTGGGGGCTGGATGGACCTCCACAACCACAACCCGGAGGCCCAGGGCAGAGACTCTCGCACTGGACACAACCTCAGTAAAATGGCGCATGCCCTCCAAATGGCAGAGACCTGACAAGCTGCAGCTCTCAGCCTGACATCTCTGAGCCTGAGCTCCTCAAGCCTGGGTTTAAGCTGTTGAATGGATCTCACCCCTGTCCACACCTTAGTTAACAAGAAGATGGCCAAGAAGGTGAGGAAGACACTCAAGGGGCTTTACAGTGGCTCCAGGCATTGGTGAGACTGGTTCTCAGCACTCGGGAAAACATGTAATTTGCCTTGTTTCCTTCAGCAGCAGAGACTTAGAGGAACTGCTCACAGTCCCTCCTTGGGCAGCGGCATCCTTCATCTGGGCACCCCCCAGACACATGCCCACTTTTGCCAGACCCTGCTGGAGTAGAGTGTCCCCTGCCAGCTGCGCCTGGAGCCCCGACCCTAACAGTGGTGGCACAGGACCACTTTGCTGCACGGGTGTAGAAATGCAGCCCTGACATGCGTATGGCTTGCGGCACTGCTGGCGACACTGTCGTCTGATGAGAGTCACAGGGAAACAGCCTCAAGGCTGGGGTGAGTGCTCTTCCAGCTGAGCGCATCCGCTTGCACAGAGACATGAAGGGAACCAGAGGGAGAGACATGAGAGGACATGGAGGGAGTTGGCCCTGACACTTCTGCTTCGAGGCTGAAAGCACTTGACAGGGTGGAGTCCGACCTCCATGGGCAGCACAGGGGAGGGCGGTGCATCTCGGCCTGCAGACACAGCAGCTCCCCCTGAGAAGACGCACACACCGCGCTACACACTTGCTGGCCTCCCAGGCGAGGACAGAAGGGTTTTAAGGGAGACTCGCGGGAGGGAGCCCAGACACAAGCTGTGGCTCCCACGAGGGCCACCCTCTGTGCAGGACAGCCCAGGCCCCCAGAGCCCTGCCAGGAGGGCATCCGAGCTGAGACGCTGCCTGTGCCGGGGCTAAATTTAAACAATGATTGGGATGTCCAAGCTTGGGATGAAAATATCAACCACGCCACTGTTCTGCTCTTTGGATTTAGGATAAGAAAACTTGTCAGAAAAGAGGCACAAGAGATTAACCTCGCCAGGGCGTCACAACACCTGAGAACACCCAAACACAACTGACTCACTGACGGAAGAACCCGCAGCCACTGAACAGCCCCTTCTTGGGCGAGCTGTGCTCAGACGCCTGCGAATGCTCTGGCGGCCACTCCTGCTGCTCAAGCCACCGCTCCTTCCCCTGACACCTCAGCGCCTCAGACACAGAACATGATGGGCTGGCTGGTAGACACAGGCTTCTCCCACACACTGCATCCAGGCCTTCCCTGTGGGCCTGGCCCACCTTGCGCCGCCATGCCTTAGTCTGGCTATAGGGAAAGACAGTGCCATAGCCAGGCAGGTGGGGTGTGAAGACAAAGCACGTGCACATCCACACTCTTCCGAACTCAACTGCAATAGCTCTGGGACCCCAGGCTGCCTCAGTTGCTGAGGCCTGGGGGGGGGCCCTGACGAAGGAGATGCCTGCTTCTCGGCCAGAGGGGACAAACATGGCACAGGCTTCCTGCCCGGCCTGGGTGGGCTCTTCTTGGCCGGAGGCAGAGCTGGGCTTCCTGGGCTGGCAGGGCAGGAGGCTGGCAGGAAGGGGACAGGCGGGCGTGTGGGGTCCAGAGTG